CATCAATATGAAATCTTCACCGATGGCACCAGCGTAAGGCCTAACAATTGGTGCAAGGATCTCATCCCTGTAACGGACACCTGTTAGCGATCCATTCCTTATGACATAAAGGTCTGTGGAGCCATCGTAACTGATACCTGCCCAAACCATAATTGATCCACAACCAAACCGGTCATGTTCAGTGATGCAGCAGTCCTTAAACCTCTCGTTTTTCTTCCTCCATACTCGTCTGCGACCATCATTAAAATCCAGACAAAATCTGGATTCATCAGTCCATAACACTCCTTGGATATGATGATGGTCCCAGTTGATATGGTCTTGAGCAAACTGGAGGCGACGGTTGCGATGTTCTACGGTCAAAGGTGGGCGCACAGCAGGTCTTCTGGCATGTAATCCCGCATCATGCAGTCTGTTTCTCAAGGTTTGTGTTGAAATCCTTATACCTGTTGCTGCAGATAGCTCTCTGTTCAAAGCAACAGCTGAAGACATTCGATTTCTCTTTGCAAGTAGGGATATTTGTCTATCTTGTCTAACAGTTGTACTTTTTGGACGACCACTCTTAGGTCTCGGTTTGACGCTATTAGTCTCTTCGTATCGTTCCAACAAACGTCCTATAACAGAATGACTTACACCAAATTGCGCTCCAACATGACGCTGTGAACATCCAGCTTGAAGCATTCCAATGGCCCTTGCGGCTTCCTCTACTGTCAGATGTCTTCTTTGAGGCATGAAAACGTGTCAAATGGCAAAAACCAACAAATATTGTACAGATAATCGAATCTTGTTCCTTTTGAGGTTGTCAATGAGTATACAATACAGCCAATATCACAGAAATGTGGATAAAGCAAAACGTTCAATTGGCAAAAATCACAAGAATGGAGCACAAATCAAGAGTGTGTTCGAATAACAATCCATGAAAATGTATGGAAACCCAGATAAAACAAAAAAGTGCAACAAAAAATAGTTATAGATTTTAAAACTTTCAAAAAAGTAAGTGGCCCTTAACTTTTTTTGTTGAGTATATAACTATTACCATTTCCTTTTTCAAAACACGAATTGAAGTGAAATACCTACGAATGAGTGCTGTGACCCTTTTTATACTAGTATTTATATAGGAGGAGTCTGATAATACTATACTTCAAGGTACAGACATCGAAATGGAAAGATTGCCAATGGTTTCGATTTTTGAAATCGAGCCTATCCATATGCATTAAAGATATTACACATGTGAATGGGTTTAGCTGTAGGTACTTCTACTACACTACATACAATTAAATTAAATTTGAAGAGAAAAATTCATTTAGAGAGCTTGATACAAGTATTTAAATTTTACATTACAGAATGGTATCATGGACATGATTTCTACACGCACGGTCTGTAACCATCATGAGAGCATGTTAAGAGTATAACAACAGTAAAACAATACAAATATTCTAATAATGCAAAAATTTGTATTTATTTGATTTGTTTGTATTGTTTTTTTAACTGTTGCATGTCGAAAAAAATTATGGGTGGACTTAAATTTCAAAACTGAAAAAATTAGATTAAGTCACTTAGATTGAAAGAAAAAATTCTCTGTAAAACATATTTCTTTACGTTCTTCGAAACTCGCATATTGCTTGCAGTCTGCTGTCCGTAGTACGATGTCACGTGTCTGAGATTCCAAAAATGTTCATTTACTGGCGCTACTTCCATTCTAGACATTAGTGTCTAGCAAATGTTTCAATATATATATTTATCGAAGCTTTAGATAGCGGCCAGGGACATACGTAAGTCCTTCCAAACACAGAGCGAGCTGTGATATTGTCACATTAAAATCCCCATATTATTATTTTGTTACAGTATTTATATTATGTAAATATCCCGTGTGGAACCCCTTTGTTTTTAGACATGTTTTCACTGTAAATTTCCTGTAGGGAACCTCAATTCACTGGACCTTTAAACCCGCCAGTCCGTGCAAGATAGTTTGGACACGGCAGTCCAGAGAGGAGGACGCTTTTACCCCTCTCTCATACGTGTAGATATCTGATATGTTTTGTAATAAGAAATTATAATTACACCGAGTACCAGTATTACTTGCAGGGCTTCCTCTGTATTTCCTGTATGTTATGGTCCAGTTTTTCTGAGATAAGGTTTATGTTTATAATTTTATCTTTATTATTTTCATTTTGCGTTCATTTGTCCTAAAACATCAGTAACCACATACTCATCATTTTAAGCATGTATGTTTCGTTTATAATTGTACTTCTATGTATAGTAACACGTATTTGAATATTTCTAAACTATGGTATACAATATCCGTCATAAAAGTTTGTCCGTGTAGTAGCAATTCGTAATATTGCATTTGTGTAAGAGTTGTATGCATAGTTTAAACAACTTGTTTGTGTAATTAGTCTTATCTAAGACGTGTACATTATCCACAAGTTTGATAATGAGTGAAGTATGTATTTGTGTCAAGCCATAAGCGCTTATCAATAACACTTGTATATGTATGTTGGAGCAGGTTCCATCTATCCATGGTATAAGTCTACGTAGAGACGGTGTGGAAGGCCATCCAGTGCCTTGTAGTGAGTCAGCCTGTTCCGAGTGGTGCGTAAAAGGGAAACAACCCTTGGGCCCTAGAGTTCCTCTAGCCAGTATTGTGGAAGGCGCAATAGGACAAGCAGCAACGGACTTTGTTGAATTTGTACACTTATTGTAATTAAATATGTAAATTATCTTTTAAAAAAGTATTTGAGTTATATTTAAATTTAGTAAATTAAAAAGAAATAGTAAATCCGCTCGACAATCTGTGATAGATATTATGAAGAATGTTATTGCCAATAAATTCTTAGACTTTTCATTTGACATGTTTAATGCAAATGATTAAACTGAAGTTATTTTCGGAAAAGAGAAAGAAAAATTATAATCTAAACAAAGCAACTGTATCCAGATCCCTTAAAAAAAACTGGTTTATGAATTTTAGAAATAAATTTTGAACTAATATATAACTTTTTTTACATACGAAATTAATCCGAGTTTTTGAAATAAGGAAAATTGGACTGAAGTATTCAAATTCTAAAACTCTAAACATTTTAAGAAAATTGAATTAATCAGTGTTACACGGACCTTATTTCCTTATTATTTCGTACCCATTTGGAATATAAATCAACAGGCGTTGTTAAAAATGTAATACTTACACGTGACATCTCCTGTAGCCCTAAACAGGGCATAGGAAACAAAACTCACACTTCCTCGGTATAAATACTTTTTATAACATTAATAAAAACATTCAATATCAACTTATTTTAGAATTGTTTCGATGAATTATTACATTTAAAGAAAATATTTATATACCGCACTACATACATTGTATGTAATGGTACATACATGAAAACCTGCTTTGAAATTTGTCACAGTTTTTCGTACAAGAGGTAATCTTAGTGAAATTATTTATGAATTATTTGCTGCCAAAGCAGATTAATATTCATTACCACATACATACTACACTATATATACTTTCCATCTTCTGTTTAAAATGTCACTATGAAATTTTATGCATTAAGATTTGATTGAAAACAAAATCACATGTGTACAGTAAAACAATATTTTCAATTTTATGTGAACAGTCAGACATTCACTTACTTTTTTAAATCTTTTTTTTTCTACAAGAATATTTTGTAAAAACAAAACTTCTAAAAATTCTATTTAAGCTCATTTCTTTCAAAAGTACAGGGGAAAAAAAATAATATTACAATATTTTTAACAATGAATTACCCCTGTAAGAAAAATAAGTTGTGGCATGTTTTTGTCATATTTTGTGAAAAAAAAATTAGAGAATCCTTGTTAGTTTACATTTTAGTATGAGTTTGTGCTATCCAAATGTAATAAAAAGGCATGTAACAGCCTGTCATTAAATGCAGTGTAACGTTTGTTCCATAAGTAGTAGAGGGCTGATATTTGGACACAAATTTCAGTGTAAATTAGGGTAGCATTGCTGGTCATTAAATATTGAAAAATTAAATAAATATAACATCCATATGGCTGCTTGACTGGAAAGAAAAAAGAACAAAAACTAATAAGCAATGTCAGGAAAATTGAATGTATAATATTTAATTTTATTTTGTACGTCGTCATCCATATAACTGTAAAATTAACAATGGAAAAATTATGCTCAGAAATAATTTATTTTCGACATCCATACCGTGCTTATATATCTCGTCTGTATATTTTGCTGAATTGTCCACGGATTTTTCAGTCATAAAGCAAACAAACAAAAACTAAACAAGCTTGTATGGTAGAAAAATTTTTTTTTTTTTTTTTTTTTGGGGGGGGGGGGGGGGTTAGAATTTTCAATATTACATTTTCACATGCAAATATAATAGATGTGCATCGTGGAATACGGTTAATTACCGTCTTCCTTGGAAGACGGTATTGTATAGTTGAAGTTTTTTACAGTCTTCGGACTATGCACTTCCTCTTTTTTGTGATTGGTAGAAATTGCATGATGAGAAAATTTTCAATTATTTCATTGGTTGAAATGCTGTTCAAGGCAAGGGAGATAACTTTCTAATGATCTATTTTTCGTACGATTTAACAATTTTGCAAGATTTCCAATCTTAAAAAAATGACAAAACGAACAACAAAATCAGCAGTAAGTATTTCTTAATAACATGATATTTTTTATAGCAATAAATAAAAAGGTCTCTTCAATTTCATTATAAATAAAATTTGATAGTTATTGCTTGCAGGCTTTACAATTTGTTATTATTCTTTTCCCCTTTCTTGTTTGAAGAGTGAATAAGAATCAGCCGAGGTTTGCCGAAAGATCTCGGCCAGTCAAAGTTTACGGAGATGACCGAGCGACAACCGTGGTAGGGCTTATGCCCGTAAAAAGCTAATTTAGAAATACAAAATCAAGAAATTCAAAAGAATTATAGATCTGTTTACTGTTTAAAATTGTTGCTAAAGACGGTAAGCTTTTTTGAAAAGCTCTACTTGTATGAGTGTTGCAATTGTTCTCATGATTTTGAATCATGTTCCTCTTCAAATGCTCCATCTGGACCAGCTATTACAAATAAAAGAAATATACATAGCAAAATAAATACAGATCAAATTTACTGATCAAAATGCATGATTCAGAATGAAAATATTTATTTACAATTGAAAAATAAATATTTTGTATAAATATATTTATTGATTCATATCTGACAGATAAACGGATTCATCCCTAGAGGAGTAATTATAATCTATGAAAAATCCAGTAAGGTTTTTAGAGATTAGTAAAATATTATAATAACAATAAATATGAAATACACTTACATTTCTGAAAAAAAAAACTTTTTCACAGTAGCAAACAAAACAAGAAGTATATTTAAACCCACTACATCTTAGACCGGTAGCTTTATTAATTTTTACATCGTTTACCAAATATATTAGTTTGTTTTTAATATTGTTAATTATTGATGAAGAATCTAATTAACTTACTAGTAATAATCTACATTACTAATAGGGAGATCCCAAAAAAACCAAATCCGACTTCTTGAGCAAATGACTGTGGGATATCGCTAGTTTTAAGATAACAATATAACATAAGGATGTATAAGTAAAGGACCATAAATAAATAATGTTAAAATACATATTAAAACATAAGAATCACCAAGTAATTATTTACACAATAGTATTTAACTATTGCAGGGGGATCTAAAAGCCAAAAAATAAAAATTAAGGTGGCTTTCTAAAATGTCGTTTTCATCGGAGATTATAGATACGCATGAACACACAAACGCCTTCCTTTTTTTCTTTCTTCTTTATATATCGTTTCGCCTAAACAATCGTTTCAGATGAATTTAAGCCACTGGAATCGTTTCCTTCTTCAATGACATTGGAATGTTTTCTAGCTTCTATTGATTTTCTTTCGTTAACATTTGATTTATTAAACAAATGCAAAAAGAAGCTTCCCCTGGAATAATTACTCCTTTGCCCATTGACATGAGATCGGCGTTTTGAGGTTGCATCGTAAACCCCTTCAGAGAGATCTTTATATGGATTCTCATCGCTCTCGTCAAATGGAATGGTGTCATATTCATTATCAATACCGAAAACTGTTTTTCTGGAGACAGGTCGACGATCATTGGCTTCTTTTGAGGTTCTCGAGCTCTTTCTATAAGAGTAAAAAAATGTTAGAATGCTTTTGAAAGACCATACAATATTGACATCATCTGCTTTTTATTTTTAAATGTTTCTTTTTCATGTGATTATATGAACTAACAAGGAAAAGTTGTGGTAATTGCATCATTGATAATAACAGTTACTGAAATAAAAGAAAAATATGATTTATATTAATGTGTTTCTTACTTTTTCTGTCTAAATCGCTTGACTGCTAGAACACCCACAATTATTATCGTCACTTCCACCACTCCGATTCCCATCATCAGTAGCACTGATTAAGACGATTATAACGATAAATTACAATCGTGAAATTGTATATTTCAGAAAGGTTCACAATAATAAACGTATAATTATAAGCTATCAACAGAAAATAATTAGGATCGTTTCCATTCCTAAAATCAAAGTAATTTTCAGAAATAGATTTTAATTCACAAAAAAAAATTAAAATTGAAAGTTTTTATATGAAATAAAAAGTAGAATAGAATGGAAAATATAGATATCTTAACATTCAATAATTCAAGGACGCTTCAGAGTCAACTAATCAATTTTCAAACCAATTTCCTGATTGATCGGTATAGATTCAGTAGTGGACGTTTCAGTGCTCAGCTTTATGCTTGATGATATTGGTTCCTCTGGTGATGTAGCACTTTGCGAGGAGCCTACAAGAGCAGCAATTATTAAGAGATATTCTTTCTAAATTTTGATATAGAGGTTAAGCTTGTTAGAATCGCCATTTTTATTGGATGTTGTATTAATGTTTAAGTATAATTTGATTAAGTTTACCAATACTAATAATGACCTTAAAGAAACTGTAGAAAATTTTTATATATTACTTTGAAATAACTAGATATTAAAAACTTTGTATTCATCGGTCCCATCTGCCGTTAACTTTATGTATATTGATCGTTAAGGTATACGATGTACTCTGTTGTCAAATTAAATATAAAAACAAAGACCTAATGAATGTTATGTTTCATGTCAGACAATATACGACTGTAAACAGGAGGTTAAATAATCGGCATTTGGCCTTTTAACTTTTAAGAAGACTTTTTAAAAGTACGATGGAATATATAATATTGAATATTTTTATGATTAAGAATGTAGCATCTTGACCTTTGTAAGAAAAGAATAGGTGGACTTAGCGCCCTATTTTGGATCTTTTTGCGGACCCTCTACTTAATGAAGAGATTCCAAAATATATTACAAACAATGGAAAAGGCTACGTATACTTGGTTATATTAAGTGGAACATTTGTACAAATTCAGTGCCCTGTTTCCATGTATCAAAATTGAAGCAACGATACACAAGTGTCGTTTTCCGGAATTTGACATGTACCCGTACGTAGTGGTTTTTAGGTCACATAATCAGTATTTATAGGAGGCGGGGCTATCGATTGGAGTCATTGTTGACATCTCTCTCTCTCTCCCTCTCTCTCCAAAAAATCGAATACGCGTTTAGCATATTACCGTGATGTCAATATGAAGTTATTTAAAAAGTTTGATGACACGCAAAATGAAAACAAAATTTAATTTGATAAATTCTGAAAACAGCAACCAAACGCGCTCATAGACGTGATTTAGAACGAGGTCAGGTAGAAGAATACAATGTAACTGTTTTCACGAATACACACGCAGGTGGACATCACGTGATGAATTGTAATATTTAACAGGTCAATCGCAGTCATAACAATGGAAGCGAGAAGTTTATTTTGAATATGTTTTTGGTTAAATTAAGTGTGGGCGCACCTTTGTCGGCACTTCTCCTTTTAATGTGACATTATTTTGTTCAATATACAACTACAGTTTTCTTAAGATCAGCCGACAAACATGCGCTTACTATGTATTCAGACGATGAAAAACGCGTGACCCTGATTATCTATTGATATTCAAGAAATCTTTAGGCACCATGCCGTTGATATTTATTAAGTTTACCTAGAAAAGATCGTTTTAAATTCCCATCTGTACCATGAATACACGGTTAAGATATTGGGTGTTTATACAATAGAAAAAAATAAACATTTTATGAAACTTAAATTTACGGATTGGCCAGCCATTCTTTCAGAAAACAACGTGTTGATTATGAATTATTTTTTTTACGTCTACCAACAGTTTTCTATTTAAAGTGCTTTTTAGGCAATATCCATGACCACAAAAACTTGTTAGTCAATAATTTCCCATTTGAGACATTGTTCATACGTAGAACATGCTCTTGTGTATCCATTCAACTGATAGATATAAACACCGTAGGCAGGTGATAAAGGTATATTGCTGCATGAGTAAGGGAAGTTAACGATTGATTGATTGATTAATTGATTGTTTGTTGTTTAACGTCCCTCTCGAGAATTTTTCACTCATATGGAGACGTCACCGTATGCCGATGATGGGGCTTCAAATTTTGACCTTTCCTCGATCGGCACTCAGGGTCATTGAGCAGTGAGGGATCTTTATCGTGCCAACGCCTGCCTCTGACACGGGGCCTCGGTTTTAAAGGTCTCATCCGAAGGACCCGCAACTTTCACTTCAAAGTGCCGAGCGCATGGCGAAGAAACAGTTGCGAACCATTTTAACGAGGAGGTCAGTCGCGGCCGAGATACGAACTCACGACCTCTCGATCACGGAGCGAGCGCTCTACCGACTGAGCTACCGTGAACGGTAGTTTACAATTGAAAGTAGGGTGATTTATTTGTAATTTAGCATTAATATTATTTCTTGCAAACTATTCAAACATGAAACAGTTGTGATAAACTCTGTGATGTCCTTTATTTCAAGATCACCAGAACACCGGGATACTAGTATATCGTATCGACATAAGAATGGTAATAGTCATTTTTAATTAACAATACGTCGTCATATTATACTTGAATGTCGATTTGAAAGAAACAGCAGGTATTTTCTACTTTCAAGTATAAGCCTTTGTAGCCTCTGTTTTATACTGACATGCAAAAGAACACAATTTTCTTTATTTTTACACATTTTATTCTAGGACCCATTTGAATCATGCTGTTGATTTTTTGTAAAAATTTAATCATACATTTTCTCGTAAGAAAACTTAAACTGTCGATTAATTACTTGTGAATTTTCAATTCCGACTCTACGTATGTTATATTTTTACTTAATATTTTACTCAAATTTTCCATTATCAAATTGACTTACTAACTTAAAACAACAAAAAGGATATCTTTATTAAAAGTATTACACAAAGCAATAGATCAATTGATAATTCTAAAATGAGGCTCATTCTCAAGTCTGCTGTCTGATTTCACCATCTTCTTACAGGGGTCTGATAGGCCATATTTCAGACTATGTGGAAAAAAAATGTGCGGTTGAATTTCTTTCATATCATATATAAGGAGAGATTTTGTATCCTAAAACAAAATATCAAAGTTTCAGGAAATTGAATTTGAGGAAAAATTTGGCCTATCTATTGTATCCTACCTTAAATAAATATAAATTATTTTTACTATTTGTAATTTTATTTAGGACAAAAGACATTGGAAATGTAAATATTTGGTTATAAATGTGCATGTAAAGTAGGCGCTTATCCACTTTACGCAAACTTGTAGTACTTGAAGTCTATATAATCAAATGTTGAGAGCAAAAAGGAACTGATTGTAGGTTTTAATAAGTGGTAGCTGGTATTTCAAGTATTAAATGACCCTGCAGTGCATTCAGTTTTACAATGGGGGTGTTATTGGCCATTTGTGACGGTTCATTTTGTCTCCTTACATATGTACCTTTGGTGGTGACAATAAGTACCTATCCTCGAGCTCACTGTTCATATTGCCATCAATCAGACAAGTTTGCACAGATAGCAATATGTGCGAATTGAGCGACAAAGTTTGCCTTTCATAGTGATACATATTGTGATTGGCGACGATAAATTCTTAAATCAAACATTCACATGCATAAACATAATTCAGCAACCATTAAACATGTTAAATGTTGGGCATCAATATGTATAGTGAGGACAGGCACATACGTCTCCGGCGACAGTAAGCATATAATTATTTTTTTAGCCGACGACTTATACCGGTATTTTGATGACTCGTACAGTGTGTAGGAGGACTACATGTAAATTTAGCGTTTCTGTAATTTCCTTTCTAAACTCTATGAAAATAGGTACTTTGTCCTTTTACCGATATCTACAACTTAAAAAAGTAATTGTGTTTATTTCATCTCTACCTATATTTTCTATACATACATGTATGAACGTATTAATCGTTTGACTCCGCATAAGGTACTTGTTATATATATATATATATATATACTTGATTAAAAAATGCAGCACTTATGTATGTTTACCAATGTATTTCCATTTCATTTTATATTCAATACTTCTATTTCCGTCAGTCAGTTTCCTTTCAATAAAGTTATGTTGTGTACATTATTAACGAATTTTATCAATTCAAGATTATAAAAGTATTAGCCATGTGGAATTTCTGGGGTGTAAATTTTCGTTGTTTTCAAGGAATGGAGAGCCCCGCGAAATCAATTCCCCAGAAACCAATTTTTTTTTTCCTTTAAACTTAAAGATTTTATACTTACCTCGTCATTGGTCATTTGCAAAATTATTTTGTTAAAACCTATTCTGATTGCACACACAAGTACTCTGAAGTTGACATCAAGAAGATGCTTGAGTTTCTGATTGACAATATCTATGTGGTTTTTGGAGACCAGGTATTCCAACAATCTATTGGAATTCCAATGGGTACAAATTGCGCTCCGTTATTAGCAGACTTATTTTTATATTCATATGAAGCAGAATTTATGCAGAGTCTTATGCGTGAAAAGAAGAAAACACTTGCTGTGGCCTTCAACTCGACATTTAGATGTATCGACGAGGTGTTGTCAATTAATAATGATAATTTCCATCCCTACGTCGATACGATATATCCTGGTGAGCTTGAAATGAAAAATACCACAGAGTCCGACAATTCCGCTTTATATTTGGATATTTTACTTTAAAAAGACACTGATGGTAATCTAACAACAAGCTATTTGATAAACAGGGAGGTTTCTAGTATGCCGGTCCTCAGAATCACAAGACTGCGCATGAGCTGTTATTTCCCTTGCCGTTGCTATGCAGAATGTAAACAAACCGCAATTTCCCACTCGCTTCAACAAAACGCATCCGATCGAGTGATTAGAGTTAAGTTATATAATTTTTTTAAAATTGGGGTTGTTTTATAAATTTACTCTGAAATCTTTCTGACTTTGGGCTAATTCATGTAAATTTTGTCTTTTGTGACCAAAAACTTGCATGAATCGGCCTAATGTTGAATCGTGCCGACATAACCTAACGTAAGTTTATGAAATTTTTGCTTACAAAGAACCGGAATTTTTTATGAACGAAAGTTCGGATGAATCAATCTAGGTCTATTGTCCAAACATGACCGATTTTGAGTGCTAAGTTTAAGCAAGTTATTTTAATTTTTAAGCGACTTAACGTTTACTGCATCTCGATATACTGACCTCCTAATGTCCATATTCATAACATTTTTCTTTTCAAATTGATGATGATGCACAATTCGATCAATCAACGACTAGTAATTAGCTAACATTTGTTAAATCCATGTATATCTCACAAAAATCTCTCAATTTTAATAACATTGCACTTTGAGTCCTATCAGGCATTTTTTCATTAAGTCAAAACACAGGTGACGCATCTCATGAATATTTATGAGATTACGTCAAAATTTGATCACGTGACTACATTCCTAAACAACGCAAGATGGGGTTTTACTACCTAAACAAGTACGTTATTTTACGAAATCTTTAAATTCTCATTTAAAAAACTGTGTTTAAAAACCAGTTTTTTAAACCCAATTTTTCACAAAGAACACGAATTTGGGGTCAATTTTTCAATTTGTGGCTTCTTTTTCGATTTTGTTGATCGCTTATGCGATCGTCTATATAATGTAAACCGCCTTCGGCGGCACCTATTTTAGCGTCATTATATTTATTGGGACCGGTATACTAGAAGTGTCCCTGATAAATGTGATGACTTTAACTTTTCTATTGTCAACTTCCCTTACTTATGCAGCAATATACCTTAATCACCTGCATACGGAGTATATATATCTCAGTTGATTCGATACGCAGGAGCATCCTCTACGTATGAACAATTTCTTAAACGAGGTAAATTATTGACAAGCAAGTTGATGAAACAAGAGTATCAGCAGTCTCGTTTAAAGTCACCATTTCTTAAGTTCTATGGTCGATACTATGACCTTGTCAGCAAATACAATTTATCATTGATTCAAATGCTAAGTGACGTTTTTCATACCAATTGTTAGTCCATTACTTATACACTGAATTGACGACGGATTTTTTCCGTTAATTCCTGATCATGACAACGAGCACACGGCGGGTCTGACCGGTCGACAAGGGATGCTCACTCCTCCATGGCACCTGATCCCACCTCAGATGTTTCGGAGGTTTGCTCTGCTCTTATTTTGTATATTGTTTTATGGACTTTGAGATTGAATACTGTTCGTTATCTCAATATCCTTATAGTGTTGTATTGATATATGCGCGCTCTCTCTCTCTCTCTCTTACCAGAAGTTATTATTACGGGTGCGGATATTGAAGTTTTGTATATCACTGTTGTTGAGTGCGGTGGTTGCGATGAAGTGTATAAAGTTGGTGTAGAACTCAGAGCTTCGCTCATAATCACTTTTGGCGTTGTTGGTTTAGTGGCTTTCCAATTGGAGAAAACTGTTGAAATGTTTGTTTCTCTTGACTTTTTTGTTGTAACTACTGTGATTGTTGCTGTTTTTGTTGAACGAATTATTTCTTTATTTCCGATCTTTGTTCTCTGAGGAAATGAATCTTTTGTTTTCGTTGTCGTTTTTGTCTCCGGTGCCATTGGTGTCTTTGACATTGGTGATGGAACTTTTGTCGACTTTGTTGATTTTGTTAATATCTTCGATACTGTTATTATATAAAAAAAAGAAATTCTCGTGCAAAATTATAAAGACGTCAAAGTAACAAACAGGAAATGAAAGCCATGTATGTCAAAGTTTAAATCAAACACACATAGAAAAAAAGTTAAAAGTAAATTGGGAAATAAACTTGCTTGGCAACGAAATCAAAGATCAAAGGGTTTCTCAGTAGCTTTGAACACGTTATAACCAAATTATTTATTTTCGAGTGAACTTTTGATTTTGATTTTTAATCATAACAACAAAACATTTGAGACAGACAAATGTTCGAATAGAGATATTACAAGATAGATCTGTCAAATTTCGTGTCGTAGCACAGATTAATCAATACATGTAGGTCATCAAAGTGTGCTTGGGTTCAACGTTTGAATATTCATCAGGATGCCATAATTACATGTATATAAAATATTATTTACATGTGTACTAGTATTTATTCATAACTATAGTTTAATACCAATTCAAATACGTTAAAGCTGGACTTAACGGTATATTGTAATTTATTTGGGTGATCCTTTATTATTACTTCAAGAAAACTTTTATTTCCTGGCTGTTCAGGCGCCTTGACAAATAAGGTCCTTCTAATTAAGTCAGTCATTTTTATTAAGTGAAAAGTCTACCTTTTCTAGAAGGTATATTAATGGTTAGATTTATCCACCTATTAAATACATGATTTGATTTCAAAATTTTCAAATCATGAAACCATGTTTGAAATCTAATTGTTGTGAATATTTTAAACGTTTCAATTTTTATAAAAATTTGACCTGAAGTAATACATTAAATATTGAATTGTTTGCTTCATATAATATTGCAATATTTCTATCAAATTTCTGAAGAGGAAAAGTGAAACATTTTTTTTAAATTACCAAAAAAGACATTTACCTTTAAGACGTACCCGAAACCCTTTATCTGTAAGTCTGTCATGGTTAGAGAAGAAAATGATCATTAGTTTGTTTCCTCTTGCTATCCTATTTCTTGTTTGTTTCCCACATTGTTTAAAGAGTGTGAAGTCGGTAATGATTTCCTGAATCTATTATAATCAATGAAAAGTGTTATACATTGTAAAATGTTTATGAATTATCTCATAAAGCTTAAAATAAGAAACGAAAACAAATTAATAAACAAGGCAACACTATAATTATTTAAAAAACAAACGAAAACAAATTAATAAACAAGGCAACACTATAATTATTTAAAAAACAAATAAAAAATTAGACAATACAAATGGAAAATGTATAATGCAAATGAAAAATGATACAGTTCAAATGAAAATTTATATCGTGGCAATACAAACATGAAATTATACAATACAAATAAAAAATATACAAAAAAATGAAAAATTATGCAATAAAAATGAAATTACAGATATATAATTCAAAAGAAAAAGGATAAAATATAATGGAAAATTATAGAACACAAATAAAATTTACAAGTATGCAAAACAAATGGAAAATCTTACAATGCAAATGGAAAATTATACATGTAGAATGCAAATAAAAATTTTACAATACAAATTGAAAAGATCGAATATTGCTACAATTGACATGCCAAAAGATCACTGTCTTTTGTGTTTATTCAATTTTAAAATAAAATCGTTCGAAATTAATTAAAATTAATTTTATTTTACAATTTCTGAATATTTAGTATACATGTATCTATGTTTACTTACAATTTTTTTTATTTCATTTAAAAAGGTTTTAGTTCATTTTCTATGGCTATTTTTATTTTATCATTTGTCGAAGAACACAGGCGCGCCTTCCCAAAAAGGTCCTATATATAGATTATAATTGCATAAAATTATTTTGTCTTCAGTTTTTGTTAGTGATATACATGTAGACCTCTTATAATATGAATTTAAATACTGAACCTGTAGGTAGTCATCGCATGCGTATCCTGGTGTATGGTGAATATCCATTTCTATCCTGATATATATCTCCTCTGTGACGTCAGGGGCTGTCACCATCCAAGTATAAATTGTGTTGCTTTCATAGTTTTTCTCTGGATATCCTGGTGATTTTATTGTTGTTTCTTCAGATATCTGGAGGTTTATTTCCTCTGGTATGGTACGAATACCGGAACAAATGTCTTAAACGTAAAATAAAGTATATTCTTTGTGGTGTACCAAAAAACCATGTACTCTGAAATTTTCCGGAGAATATCTGTATACGGTCGGCATCTACGCTCCATTGCATTTCAACTGACCTTGTAATAGGTCGAACGTCTAGACGTTTGATTATCAATATTTTATAGTATTGAATTAAAGAAGCAGGGGATGTTCACTCCTCCATGGCACCTGATCCCACTTTTGATGTTTCGGAGGTCCGTTTTTGCTCTTCTCCTATTTTGTTTTGTTTTATGGAATTTTGATGTTGAATGCTGTTTGTTATCTCCATATGTTTCATATATAACTAAATTTCTTCAAGCAATTTGACCAAGAGGTGACGAAACTTAATGCTTTGTCGCTGTTTCTAGCTAAGTAATACACGGGACAGAGCTTGCAGACTTAAATTTTGGAAGAAAAATACGTGTTCCAATTTTTATCGAATTAATAATAAGGTTAACATGTAAAAATGAGTAAAAGCTGTGTAGGTTTTTTGTTTAATGAAGATGATCAATCATTTTTCTCGAGCAAAATGATTGATCACTGCAAATTAACATTGATAAGTTACTATCATTCAAACATTAACGTAAATGAAGTTTGAAAATCATAAAATATATATGAAAATCTTTCTATACTTACTTAAACAGTTTGAAGCAACTACTGTCAGATAAAATAAATTTGTTATAAACATTTTCCAATAGTGGATATTTAACTTTTTATTATATTTTGCTGTTTCTAAAATATCAATGAAAGTTTGTTCAGGTCCGATTTATACTCTTAGAGGGGGAAATACTAGGAATTTGTTAACTGGTTAAACGGAAGAGGCGTCGCATTGAAGGTCGAATTGGTTTCGATATTTTTAAATCAAGCTTTAAATTGTGAAATGCATTGAAGAAACACCACATGTAAAACGTATCTGTTGGACTGCATTGCATTCCAAAACGTTGGAAATCCAAAATATTTAATTAAAAATAGCCCTGATCGAGCTGAAAAATGGTGCCAAATAAGTAGAAGGATAAGAGCTATGCATGAGTAAGATAGTCCTTAATTTTTAAATTTTATCACAGCAATTATTTATATTATCGATTCTTTTAATAACTATGTATTTTTATTTCATAAGTTTGTTATAATTGCATAGATAAAATATATGGAGATAACAAAGCAGGAGTATATCCAGCGTATCTAAATCTCAGTTTCCCGGCCTGATTGAAAGGGGAGCCAGGATCAGATGCTGTCGGTGCATAAAAGTCATTGCCAAAACAATTACATGTATTTGTTAAATATCTTTATCACAAAGTCCAGTACATGTATAACCTTTCAAAAACGTTTGAAGAATGTATCATATCAGTATATATAGTTCCAATGTCTTACCTACTAGTGCGTATTGAAAATAAACTGTTTTTTTATTTTTCCTGAGCTCATCATTTTTATGATGCAAGATAAGATGCAAAGAAATAAAAGTAAACAATCCTACATGTTCATTTAGACCAGCACCTGCAGTGAGGTCACATCAAGAGACTTCTTTTCATGTATGTTTTTCAAATAAATTTTACCTTTTATGAATACGCAAACAGACAACTAGTAATGGTGCATAATTAGTACCCATGAGAATTCCAACAGAGTGTAGACCTTGTCTCCAGCAAGCTACATAGGAATTTTCCAGTAGCTACTCAAGCTCTGTTTTTAGACTGAGCATGCTGAATTTAACATTGTCTCGTCATGGAGCTAATTGTTTTAATATTTACTCAAAATGGGTACAAAGAGCATGATATACGTGATTCATGCATTTTATTGTTTAACAAATAAGTCATTCAGAGAGATCAGAAAATAGATGAACACAGATTGAATATAAGATTTATAGATTTATTCGGTTATGTCAATTTCAATAAATATACATTATACACTTTAATTTTTGTTTGTTATGCTGACATTTTATTTATCTTTGTTAACTGTCTTGACTGCATTGTGTTTGTTATTTTTCCTATCTGTGTTATTTGCCTTTGTTAACTGTCTTGACTGCATTATGTTTGTTATTTATCCTATCTGTGTTATTTATCTTTGTTAACTGTCCTGATTGCATTATTTATGTTATTTATCCTATCTGTGTTATTTATCTTTGTTAACTGTCTTGACTGCATTATGTTTGTTATTTATGTTATCTGTGTTATTCAAATCTTTGTTAACTGTCTTGACTGCATTATGTTTGTTATTTATCCTATCTGTGTTATTTATCTTTGTTAACTATCCTGATTGCATTATCTATGTTATTTATCCTATCTGTGTTATTTATCTTTGTTAACTGTCTTGACTGCATTATTTATGTTATTTTTCCTATCTGTGTTATTTATCTTTGTTAACTGTCTTGACTGTATATTTTTGTTATTTTTCCTATCTGTGTTATTTATCTTTGTTAACTGTCTTGACTGCATTATTTATGTTATTTTTCCTACCTGTGTTATTTATCTTTGTTAACTGTCTTGACTGCATTATTTATGTTATTAATCCTACCTGTGTTATTTATCTTTGTTAACTGTCTTGACTGCATTATGTTTGTTATTTATCCTATCTGTGTTATTTATCTTTGTTAACTGTCTTGACTGCATTATGTTTGTTATTTATCCTATCTGTGTTATTTATCTTTGTTAACTGTCCTGACTGCATTATGTTTGTTATTTATCCTGTCTGTGTTATTTGTCTTTCTTTGGGTTTATCTCTGTATCCAGTTCCTCTGTTTGTGATCTCATTTCCTTGGTTAACTCATCAATTTTATCAATATCCTTCAGAGAAAACTGGGCTGATCCTCTTTGTAATGGTTTGGGCTGAAAAATGGACGACATGAGAAATTAACTTTGTGAACTACATGTATGTGCAGCAATAGATATGTGAGAAGTATACACGTCAATAAAGCTTCAAAACCTTGAATGGATATTCAGTGAATTTTTAAATTAATTGAGAAAAAAGTTGAAAATGTGATCAGTTAAAAGATGGATATACAGATAGACAGCAAGTCAGACAGACACCTAATACAGGGTAATCAGAAAATCTCACTTCAGCTTTCAGCTCAAATGAGCTAAAATTTAACAAATAATTGCTGTTTGGAACTTTAACGAGGCCCTGCACTATTTGCACTGCGCATACATTTTAACGCAGCGTCAACTCAGGCACTTCACAGTACCCTTGACTGCCATCAAAATTGAACACAATAACGTCACAATTAAAATGACGTCAAATTGCACTAAAATGTTTCGCTGATCTTGCATACCTGGTAACTCTATATAGGCTGTACATGTTTTTAAAATACTAGTACATGTGTATTTCTATTATTTACACGTTGTTTTTTTTAAATTTTATATTAATAAACAACTTTGGAACATGATTTATTTTGATGTATCAATTTCTTGGTACAGATTCATTAATTTTATCTTGTTTTATTTCAATTTGTGAGTTTAAAAAAATACCTTTTACCTCCCCCTTTTTTTCCACGTATAACAACGTCGCGTGTTAAGAAAAAAAAATTAAGCATGGAGAGAAAATTATTTCAAAATGTAAGAATTATTTATTTTTCAGAAACTAATACAGGATTGCAATCATTTGTTGATTTTACGTGAACCCATGGCGACTTATTTTATATCTAGTTGGATAAAATAAATCCCAGTTTTGTGTTTTGATATGCCCCCTTTTCACTGCAATAAACGCTACCACCAAGTTTCTTTTCATTTTTTTAAGAAGAATGAACATTGCATGATATATGTGAAAAACAAAACATTTCATCATCTATTTTTTTTTTAAATTGTCAATTTCTTTGTTTATTGGAGACTTTTAGTATGTAATTGTGTACAAAACACGAAAAATGGTCCATATCTTGACAGTGCCCCCATTTGACTACAATAAAGGCAAGGTATCAAAAATTCATTCTAATTTTTCTTAGCATAATACATACAGATATATTTCCCAAAACTAAAAATTATTATCATTCTGTTTTCGTATTTTCAACTAGATCGGGCCTCGTGAAATACATGTACATATTAAACATTGTTTTCTAATAGTACTATGAACATTTTTCACTTCATATACTTCAAAATACTGAGAGAGGGAAAAAAGTGACTCCAGAGGCCATATTTTAATGAGCTCAGTAAGTGTCTGAGCCTGTATTATAAGAGGCATCATCTTTGTTAGACTCAGGATAAAGTTTGTTCCATGATAGATTTTGAAATGGTTTAATGGTTTCATTAACTAAGACTGGAACTGACCCAACCTGACACTTTGCATTATTAGAGATATAAAGGATTTATATATAATTTTACCTGAGAAGGATGCGGGGACCAACCAATGAAATGAACAATCTGAAAGGTAGCCTCCAGTCCATCCTCTGTGCTGTACATTTCTATTTTAAAAATTATCGTATAATTAGATTGAGACAGAGAGAGAGGGAATGTGGTGTGATTACATTAATTATGACAAGGAGAAAAGTTTCTTTTAAAGAAAGTCCAGAACACTTCATAACCATAAATTTATCATCAAGAAGATTTCATTCATTACATTTCTATTAAAGAAGATGAGCTTTTCCTAAAAGAATTTTACCTCTGTATTTTTTCTCAGCTAATTCTATTGTTTTAAGATGAAGCATGGGCCTCCTTTCCCAGACACAGTTATTTTCGGCCACGCAGTACAGTTAAGGTGCGCAATGGAAATATCGACTAAATTTTGTATTCAAAAATGTATTCGTAATCGGGATGGCGATTATTTTTAGTACATTGTTTATATCGGATAATTGTAATTATGATTAATAACTACATATCGAGGACGATTATATTTTATATTTAGATTGGTCACGTGATGCGGCAGTCAATTGTTTTAGCACAATTAGTGTCAATTAAATACATAATGTACAGAAAATATATTAATAAAATAGTGATGAAGACATTAAATTCAAGTTATTGGCCCATAGAATATCTGTAAATAATATTTTATTTAATTATAGAATACATATTTTGTTGAGAAAATATTACTTGATATGTCTCTCACTGCATACAAACTACGTCACGTTGTAAGATATGACGTCATATTGACAAGTGTATTGCGATCAGTGACATGTTTATAACTTGTTATGTGGGATTTAACCAACGACAAAACAACACGCTGTAGTAAGTTTTTATGTTGTTTAATGATTTCTTACTGGTAGAATTAGCAGATAAACTCATTTTGTGGTATTTTAAAGAAATGCTGTATGACGTATATTGTGTATGATGTCATAGTCAAGTTTTCCCGTACAAATTCGGCTCCGCCTCCTTTTTGTAACCTTAACTGTGCTGCGCATGCCTGAAATAAAATAAAATCATTATCTTAATGATACCAATGGACAGCTTTTACTGATGTAGCTAGCCTATGATAAATTTAGCAGAAGTATTTAATCTTTAAACATTGAATCATTATTGTATTAATACCAGAGTAACCAGATAGTTACGATAGATTTAGCAGAAGTAGGTAAGTTTTAAATGTTGGATTACCGCCTTGATACCTTTCAAATCCAGCATTAAGGATAACATGTTCTCATAAGTTGTTTTTATTTCATCAATATCCTGTAAAAGGGGAAAACTTGACTTTGGTTTGTCTTATTTTTGCAATGATATGAAATATTTTAGACACGTCTCTACTTAAACCTCGACCTTGACATCTTTTAAAAGTTATATATAGATAAAAATCTTTACCTATTAACAGAGGTACAGGAAAATATATATATCAAGTCCACAGGAACAGGTACTTGGGTCGTGGTTTATAAGTATGTATTATAAATATGTATAATGTACCTTATTGATATGTATATTTACATATCAATAAGGTACATTATACATATTTATAAACCACGACCTAAGTACCTGTGATCAAGTCTTGTATTTCAGAGGAACTTGGATTTATCATTTTATATGTACAAGTGGTAATGCATCTTATAGGATTCTTCCATATATATATATATATATATATATATATATATATATATATATATATATATATATATATATATATATATATATATATAATAGCACTAAAAAACCAACAACACTGTATATCCTAAATGTCGGATCTACCAAGTAGATACAAGGTCACGGATGGAAATTTATATAAAGCACTTAAAATGACCAACGACACGAACAATAAAAATTGTCAAATTTTCGGGACGCCCTGTCCCGTCCTCAGGACAAAGAAAAAAGTTAAAAAGTCATAAGAACAAGGGAAAAAGAGAAACAAAAACAACTAGCACTACTACTAAACTACTAAACACTAGATATTCACATACTTAATTACATGTTGAATTGTAAATTTTTAAGAACACTATAATTAAGAAAGAAATCCGGACCGCTATGAAATACGTCCGGTCTATCGGGTATGCTATGGTGAAGTGCGATTTACAAAATTGAACGAATTAATTATGCTAATTAATTACGACAATCAGCAAATCGCACATTGTTTCATTCTCTCAATATGGCGTACCTATACTTGATACTATCAAGTATAGGTACGCCATATTGAGAGAATGAAGTTGATAGAGAATCATCAAAGAAAAATGATACAGCAGGGATATTTTAAAATATGAATTACTTCAGTCTGTGCATCCAGAACTTTTCCTTGCTTTTTCTCTGAGCAACAGTTTCGTTGGTCATTTAAGTGCTTTATATAAATTTCCATCCCTGGCCTTGTATCTACTTGGTAGATCCGACATTTAGGATATACAGTGTTGTTGGTTTTTTAGTGCTTTATATATATATGGTATCAACGTCTATGAGACCTTAAATCCTATTGACTGTAGATCAGGACAATTCTATCTGCTTCCTAAAATACACAAAGAAGGCATGCCAGATCGCCCCATAGTCAGCGCAATTGGACACCCCACGGAGAAAATTTCTGAATTCATTGATTTACATCTCCGTCCACACGTAGAAAGTTTGCCATCCTATCTTAAGGACACTACGGACTACATTAACAAGACGCCCTCTACTGGCCTCCCAGATCATACCCTCCTCGTGACTATGGACGTCACATCTTTGTACACCAATATTCCGCACGATGAGGGTATCGAAGCCTGTAGAGAAGTCTGGGATAGTAGATCCATACAAGTTCCTTCTACCGAGTCCCTTGCTAAGCTACTTGAACATGTTCTCAAGTTCAACAACTTCATGTTTAATGGAGAACATTACCTGCAAGTTAATGGCACTGCTATGGGTACGAAAATGGCACCGTCTTATGCCAATGTCTTCATGGGCAGACTCGAACGCAACTTGTTACTTCAAGCATCATTTAGGCCTCATAGCTGGTTGCGTTTCATTGACGATATAGAGATGAAGTGGGTGGAATGTCGCGAGAACCTCAAGGCATTCATTACGTTTGCCAACACCTTTCATCAGTCGATCAAATTTACAGTAGACGTATCTAATTCGAAAAACGTATTCCTAGATACTACATCTACCCTGATTGATGGTGAAATCGAATTCAGTCTCCACACCAAACCCACAGACTTCCACCTATATCTTATGCCCACTAGCTGTCATCCCCCACACACTTTTAAGGGAGTGCCTAAGGGACTAGCCACCAGAATTCGACGCATCTGTTCGTCCCCTGCCTTATATCAGGAGCAAAGTGGTCTTCTTAAGTCCCACTTATGCAAAAGAGGCTACAATGCCCGCACCGTACAAACAGCTATTGATGAGATGGCGGAACATGACAGACAAAACCTATTACGCTACAAGGAAAAAGACAATAGCGACAGGGTCCCTCTGGTAACCACATACCATCCCGTCCTTAAGAACCTTAGCGGTATCCTTCAAAAGAACCTACCAATTCTCCATTCAAACAAACGAATGGCAGAGGTCTTTAAGGAACCCCCAATGGCTGCATACAGACGCCTCAGGAACCTAAAGGACAAGGTAGTAAGAACCAGACTGGACAACCCATTACCTAACGGGGGCTTTAAAACTTGCTCTGACAGGAGATGTCTTCTTTGCAAGCACAGCACTTACATAGACAGTTTTAACAGCCCTGTTACAGGCCGCAGCTACAAAATACTAGGGAATTTGTCCTGTCATACTGACAAGTGCATTTATCTCATCAGTTGCAAAGTTTGCTCCAAACAGTATGTTGGTGAAACAGGAGATCTCCGTAGGAGAGTCAATAACCACCGTTCGACCATTAGGACCAAAAAACTCAATGAACCCGTTGGGGAACATTTCATCCTTGAGGGTCACAAATGGGAGGACATGACAGTAGTGGTGATTGACCATAACCCAAGATGGACAGATGTTCAGAGGAAAAGCAAAGAAAAGTTCTGGATGCACAGATTGAAGTCATTCCGCCCAAATGGTATTAACAAATTGAATGACTTCACCAGAATGAACGTAAATTAGACCTAATTCCTGATCATACTAAACAAAATTATTCTCTCAATTTAGTGTAAACTCTACAGTTAATTTGCGCCACCAACTCTCGAACAACCCATAACTATGTATTGCTTACGCCTTTGTTAATTATTTATTTCCCGATAATAAGTCCTTAAATATTTCAAAATTAATAATTGATCACAATTCATATGTTTACATATCCCTACTATATGATTTTTCTTTCATTATTCTTTATTATGTACAGTTACGCCATTTGCGAGAATGAAACAATGTACGATTTACTGATTGTCGTAATTAATTAGCATAATTAATTCGTTCAATTATGTAAATAGCACTTCACCCGAGTATACCCTATAGACCGGACGCATTTCATAGCGGTCCGGATTTCTTTCTTTATTAGTGTTCTTAAAAATTTCCAATTCAACATGTAATTAAGTATGTAAATATGTAGTGTTTAGTAGTAGTGCTAGTTGTTTTTGTTTCTCTTTTTCCTTTGTTCTTATGACTTTTTAACTTTTTTCTTTGTCCTGAGGAAGGGACAGGGCGTCCCGAAAATTTGACAATTTTTATTGTTCGTGTCGTTGGTCATTTTTAGTGCTTTATATATATATATATATATATATATATATATATATATATATATATATATATATATATATATATATATATATATATATATGATCAATTATGGCTTTGTTATTCTTATGAAGAAGATTTATAAAGAATTTTCCTTTATATTCTATGTAAAACTTTGGTCGGCCATTGTGGCCCCACCCTACCCCCGGGGGTCATGATTTGAACAAACTTGAATCGACACTACCTGAGGATGCTTACATACAAATATGATCAATCATCGCTTTGTTATTCTTGAGAAGAAGATTTTTAAAGAATTTTCCTATACATTTCAAAGTAAATCTTTGGTCAGTGATTGTGGCCCAGCCTTACCCCCAGTGGTCATGATTTGAACAAACTTGAATCGACACTACTTGAGGATACTTCCATATAAGTATAATCAATCATGATTTTGTTATTCTTGAGAAGATTTTTACAGAATTTCCTTTATATTTTTATTTAAAACTTTGGTTGGCTATTGTGGCCCCATCCTACCCCCTGGGGTCACGATTTGAACAAACTTGAATCAACACTACCTGTGGATGCATCCATATAAATATGATCAATCATGGCTTTGTTATTCTTGAGAAGAAGGCTTTTTAAGAATTTTCCTATATATTTCTATGTAAAACTTTGGTCGGCCATTGTGGAGTCCTT